TGGAGATCATCAGCATGTCCAAGTCGATACAATAATCATTCTCCTTGCAAAGCTTAACCCGTGAAGAGCTGGGAAATGGGCACTTGCAAGGTCTAGAAAGAGCCCATTTTCAAGTCCTGCCTTCTACATTTGATTGCAAGCATGAAAAAAGCTGCCAYGCTGGCAAAAGATAGGTACGTGACAAATGAGTTGGTTAATGGTAACACACCTCATCTGTGCTTCTCTGTAGGGCTGCAGCCAATTAAGTGATGCCTGGTTTTGAACAGATGGTTTCTGAAATCAGAGAATAAACAAGCCAATTGGGACGAAATTTAGTGGGTGCCTCAAGGGTATGAGCATAAATTGGCACAGGAGAAAGTATGGCATAATAAAAGAATAGTGGAATGGSCTTACCTTGCTGTCACTTCCTTTTTTGCTTTTGTATCTGCTCAATGACATCGAGAAGTCATGGAAGGTTAAGATTATGCAATTTTATTTCTCTGTTGAGCAGAATTGTCAGCTACCGGCCTTACCTGAATGTATTAATGTGCAGAGCCACCAGGAAGCGAGAGCTGTTTAATGAAGAAAAAAGAGCTAACAAGCAGTCAGCATCTTACTAATTATGGAAAGAGTTGTCGAGCAATCACTTTCTCGCTGGTCTAAAGACTGCAAATGGCCAAAACTGTCAGACAAACCTGAGGGTTGCCACTTCGGTAAATCCTGTCTTGATGCTGATTTTATAGACTGTAATAATACAAGAGTCAATTAAGCATGAATGGTTTTATGGCTACTGATGGTTTGGGGTTCTTTGTGTGTGTGTGTGTGTGTGTGTGTGTGTATATATATATTAAATAGAAGCAAGTTACTAGTGGGTTTTTCTCTCCTGCTGATCAGGGCTGGTTTCTGCCACAGTTCTGGTCCATTTCATTCTTGCCATAGAGTCAAAGCCATGTGCCACAGAACAGGCTAAGGTAATTTGAAGGGTTAATAGTTTTTGAGATAATTTTCAAATCTAATCTGATTACTGAGACTCTCTGGGCTATATGTGTTTCAGATGGAGGCAAAATTCTGGCACCACAGTTAGCAAGAATGTAGTGGAATCCGTTGCCTCCTTTCTTTGTTTCTCTGCTTTTATAAACAGATATGTTAATTCCATCTTRCCTGTCTTGCATCTTTCTCATGTAATGTCTAGCAGTGAGGTACTTATTGAGATCTCTTGTTCTTCTCTGAATGTTCTTAGCCATTGACCCGCTTAAGGTTATAGCAGTCATAAGGCTATGGCAGACAGTTCATTTTTCTATAACCCTGTTGAAAAATCTCATTCTGACTGAAATGATTTGTTCTTAGTCAAAATATAATACAGAAAAGTTAAACAGATTGTTGAATAGCTTTTATAGGGTTCAGTAGCACCAAATATTTTTCTCAGATCCATAGAATCTTTTAGACTTGCATTGCAAATAGAATAATAAAAGATTATCAAGGCCTTGCAGTACTGTACTCCCTCAATGATATGTAGTGGAAGCTTTTTGTAGGACTCTTGTCCTGCATTGTGATCAATACTTGCATAACTGTACAACTGTAAGCAAATAATACAGATATGATCACTGCTACTGTGGAAAAAAAAGTCCCTATGGAGCAGTCAAATACTTTTGTTTAGCTGTGCATTTTTAATTTTGATATCTCAAGACCRAACATGGGAAACAGCTCACAGTTTTAACCAGGTTGTAAATTGGTTTAACACTATAACATACCATTAAATAATCTTTGATCTTTGATGTCTTRTTCTAATAGCCTGTTAAAAACATTATTTAGGTTGCAAAGTCTTAGTGAGTGGGTGCATGTAAATCAAGAGCTGCTGGACTCTACGTGACGACTGTCACGTAGAGGGGCCGCCTGAGACTTTGCAAATTCAGAGGTCAACAGCCACCTTTCCCAAGCTGCCAGCTTCTTGTGCTCGAGCCCCTCTGATCATCCTTTGTAAACCTTTCTTATTGATGAAGCGCTGGCTTTTGAAGCAGAGGAGAGTGTATGGTATGATTTGCCTATCTGTGTGTACCTCTTAAACCAGGGTGGAGATACGTGCATAGGAAGGGAGGACCTAGGTGCGAGTATCACATAGCACTGTGGCTGTTCTGGGTTTCTATGCCGTTGTAAGGAAAGTATCTTTGAAAGATTGATTGTTTACCAGGCCCAAACTGGACTAATATGGCAGCTTTGGTGTTACTGAAATGTGCTATGAATTCAGGTAAAATCTACGTGCAGGGAAATATAGCTGATGAGACTGAATCAGTTGGGAAACTCTGCAGATAGGAGTCATGGAGTCAGGAGCACGCAAGGCTGCAGGAAACTGCTGTTATTTCCTAGTGGGACAGTTTCTTCAAGATCGATCMGAATTTGAGAGTGTCACAGTGGGCAGATTGCTGAGACAGCAGCGCTGACAAAAAACGCTTTTTAAGACCTTGAGAGACTACTGATGAGCTACTGCTGTACTGCAGAGTTGGGAAAGCAAGGCAGCAAATAAAGTGCAGATATTCATGTGCTGCTTTTAACTGCTGCGTTTCTTAGACTTCCAAATGTGGTGCTGAATCTCTGAAAGTTCCTTTAGAGAATTTCATGGACCAGCACACTGGTTTTTGTACATGAATAAAATGTACAGAGTGTCTAGTCTGATCTGCCGCTCCATTTCTTCAAGGTTTCTGTTCAAGATTCACATGAAGAGCATCATTTTTGTATGGAATAATACAATGTCCCTGACAGGGGTGGCTGATCACCTTGGATGCTATAGCAGAAATGTCATGTAAGAGAGAATAAATTACTTGAAGGTACCTAGTGTATCACCAAGCATGGCACTAATTTAATTTTGAGATAACAAAAGTACAAATAATGGAAATGAGAAACCTGTTTTGGAGGTGATGCTTGCTCCATCTTATCCAGAAACAACTGAAATACACTTGAGCTGTCAGAGCTAAAATTTGTGGTCATGCAACAATAATTTAACGTTTTAGGTTTTCACACATTTCTCTACCCCAGGTGAAAGGCAGACAAGCCATGATGGATTCGTCTCTAACTATAGAGAAGTTGTGGAAATTTGTTTTGCCGTTCTTACTTAACACCTTTTTAGAAGCATAAAAATAGATAATTACAGCCTTGACATGCTAAATCGTTACAGAAGTATTAAAGCATGATTGAAAACGATGCAAAGAGGCAGCAGACAAAATATATGTCCTACTGAAGGCAAAGATACTTTTCCCACTCATCTGAAGAGTGACGATATTTTACCTCAGTGTTATTGCCAAGGAAGTTGACTTTTCAAGAAACTTAAACATTAAAATAAGATTTTGTGTGTGTGTGAGCACCAGAGACAGTGGTGCTAATAGCTCTCCTTTGGTCTCGGACAGAGCAGGGGCTTTGAAGTGCCCGTTGAAATCTGCTCCCGTGTTAAGCCTGATCCAAGTGCTCTATGGACTTGAGCCTCAAGATTGTCCATGGGGATTCCCATGCTACCTTCCTCCTCAGCCTGCTGGGTATTTAGGAAGATGCTGTGTTTTCTTAGCACTAAAAGATGTGGAAAATGTGCTGAAGCTTGCCGAAAGGAATTTAAAAGGAAATATTTTTGTCTTGGCATGTAGCGCAGTTGTAAAAAGAACCATTTTGATGACATCCATCTGTTGCAGATTAAAATAGGCTGAGATTCGTGATTGTGAAGTGAGTTAGCGCAGCACGAAGAGAAGGATAAACTTATCGGAATAAGTCACTTGCTTTGTCGATCAGGATTAATATGTTGGAAGTGGGAGGCTTTTAGCATACTCTCGGGGTATGGAAGAATGGTTTCCCCTAGTGTTTCTGGCATAGGGGTGAAATCGGAAGAGAAATGGGTGCAGCCCAGTTTGGAGGTGTTTGCCTGCCAGCCCTGTGGCGTGCTTATCCTCCAGAGCTCTGAGCAGCCCCTCACCAAACAAAACAGGCTTTTACAGTCACTTATGGGCTCTCTGAAACACACTCCTACTCTATTTATTTTATATGGAAATTGCTGCTGCCTCCGTGTGTGGCCCCCAGCGCTTATTCTCTTTAAAGGTTAGTTCCGTTGCTCCTGGCACCAGCAGTTGCCTTAGTGGCCTGCGTGTAGGTCCCGTGTGGGTGAGCGTGAGTGTGTGCTGGTTTCCAACAGCCTGTGCAATTTCATGCCGCAGTTTTAAGTCAAAGCAGGACGGCTGGAGCATTTCATACTGCCTTGCTTTACCATACAGCCCATAACCTAGCTGAAAATAAAACTTCTTTTCTTTTCCCTCTGCCTAGAAGCCCTAATGGAGCTTTAAATGTGAATATGGAGTACGGGCAGTTTGGAAGTGAGMATGTTTGCAACGTTATCCTGGATTTAGGTGCTCAGACTTGAGCACTTCATTCGCTTTGCTGCAGGGTTAGCAACGGTTGCATTGCTGTCCAGGTTTTTTGGTGGTTCCTTCCTTTATCACACCCTGCCTTGGTGTCACAGCTGATAAAATAGATCCGTGGGAAYACTTTGCTCTTGAATATCTGCCCTTTTGTAGCATGTAACTGAGTTCTGTGTGTGTACATAAATGGTAGTCATAGAGCTGTATGCAAGCGCAAATCCAAGGCCGATAAATATTTTCTTCAAGCAGAGAAACTAATAATGTGATTGATCGCTTATTTTTGGAAATTTTGAGTGYATATATAAGAAAAAACTATTGCTGTTAAGTTAATTTTCTTCATTATTAATGGTAATTCCTATGACTTGTCTTTTCTCTTTAGCTCTTGCTCAATTTTTGAACTTCAAGCAAATATGGTGCAATAATTGCTTGCCTGGCAGATTTATATTTCTTTTGTGGCAGTACTGCCTTGTCTGCATATATTGATTAGTACAGATATAATGCAAAGTCAGTTTTCTACACGATGTTATGCTTCTGCAGCATCAAATGGGGAAACCTTTGACTGTGTTCGAATTGTGGTCACCTCTAAGGAGGAGCTAACAACAGCTAACAATTTTTCRTATCTTTTTACAGTCTGACAGCAATGCAAGCTTCCTCCGAGCTGCAAGAGCTGGCAACCTGGACAAAGTAGTGGAATACCTGAAAAGTGGCATAGACATTAACACATGTAATCAGGTAAGACATTATAAGGGCAAAAGCTTGCAATAGTGAATTCTGGAGAAATTTCTTTTCCAGAAGGAAGATTTGTAAGGCTGGATTATTTTGTATAGTTGTCTTAATTTAACTCAAATTATGCTTTCAGAGTAGTTTTTCAATGGTAGTATATAAGAAACTGATAGTGATCAGAAACTCTGTTTTTTAGTAAAAGTTTATGTAAGTCTTTTAGAGATTTTCTTTCTTGCTAGTGTATTGCAGGCTTGCATATGTATGATAATGAAGTATATTCAAAACTGAAGTTGTGCATTAGTAAGTTAAATATAAGGAAGAGTTGGTTTCATGCTGTTGTGAAGTTCCAATTTCAGATGAAGCCATGAGCACTGAATAAACCCGTGTTCCTCAAAACACTCACACCGTGATAACATTTGTGTTCTTGCCAAGGAAAACACAGTATCATTCGGATATTGGTTAAAAAAAAAAAAAGATAAAATATGCCTGGACATCAAGGTGAGAGTTGTTGGAATTCCTGCTGAGGCTCTTTGCAGAGGGCTGCTTTCCAGGTGTTGCTCTTTGGGCGAAATCCACGCTGCCTCTGCAGCACTGCTCAGTCTCGTACTGCTGCAGCAGGAGGCACTTGCACCAGCTCCCTGAGCAGGAGCCTGCTAAAGCTCCTCAGCCTCATGTGTGTCCCCTGCTCRCTTGGTCCTCTTACCTGTGCTCATGGCCTCTCCCTCTCTTGTTGCTCTGTAGAACTAGATGTCTGCCAGTACTCAAGTTCTTTGCTCTCTGTTAGGCTTTACTTATTAATTGCAACGAGGCACAGGTCTGCGCCTAGTGGACACCTGCCATTTTAATGAGGGATGGTTCTTTTCCCAAAGAGCAAGCGTTAGAGCAAATTGACAGCTGAGCAGATGGCGGCAGGGAGAGGACAGTGATGACTACGTTGGGCGTGCGCCAGCTCTCAGTTTGTAGCTGCTGTCAAGCCACCTTTTCTGGTGTCTGCTCAGGTGTAGGAAGAAGTTTCCTACACTTCCTACACTTGGTGGAGGAACCCAAGTTTCACATGACTCCTTGTACACATATTTAAAGGACAGTGTAAATAGATATTGTTGGCAGGACCGTGGAAGAAGGTGAAAGCCACGTATGAAACATATTGACGTGTACAAGATGTGTGTGAAAATGCCTGCTGGTAAAAATATTTATTTGGAGTTTCCAAAGCAKCTGAGTTTGAGGAAATAGGAAAAGAGAGGTGGTAGGGAAAATGTATTTCAAACAGCAGCTTGCAAAGATGATAGCAATAGGGTTTGGCTAAATTTAAGAACTGAGTTGCAAAATGTTACTTAATCACCTACTGGCATTTTTTTTTTTAATAAACATCGTTTCTTTTTGTATCTGTTCACTTACTGTTTTTCATTTATGGTTGTGTTTAAATTCTAGGGATATTTTTAGATACCCTAGGGGTGTTATTAGAGTCTTGGGTTTCTTTCTGTAGAATAAGAATGCTCTTCTAGGATTTTATCAATGATGTCATGGTAGGAAAAAAGTTTTAAAAAAAAAAAAACTTAACAGCCTCAGCTTTGATTTTTTGGGGGGAAGAAAAAAAAAATCAGCTCTTCTGAAACAAAATATCAAGGTCCTATTGTAATATATTAATATTTTGTTATTCTGAAGATGTATTCTATGTTTTCACATGCTTCATTTTCAGGGACCTCTATTGCTTGAATTACTCATTAAAATAATGTGAACGCTGAGGGGATGGGATAGTAGTTGAATAATTTATACCAAAAAAAGAGTAGATTTTAACCAAATTCATAAATTTGCACATTATCCACGGATTTGGTTAACATGTATCTTAATTCMGATTATACAGTTAATGTTTTAGTAAACACTTTTGAGAAATGAAATATTTATGTATATATAGTACTAAATACAGTATGGAAATCATGTTTGTTTTTAGTTTTGTTTTTGGTAAATTTGTTTTTTGTTTTTGTTTGTTTAGTTTTTCGTAATGTCAGCCAAGTATCATCAAAGTAAGTTAAACACAGAAAATGCTTCAAAATATGTTCTGTAATGACCAAGAGAAAGATACTGCCRTAAGTGAGTCACATCCTTCCCGCATCACTCCTGTAACCTTTATGTTCTGATTTAACCCAGAAAGTTGCTGTTTTGAGCAGAGTGGTTTTTTTCCAGCTGTATGACACTTGGAGCTGCTTTGTCCTGTAGGAAATGTGCAGGGATGGAGTATGCTGGTACAAGTAAGTGGGGTCGGGGGGGAATGAAGGTTTAGCTAAAACTGAACAAGTCCAGGACCTTATTTTTGGTAGCAACAGTAAGAACTCCTGATGAAATTGGAGATTTTTGGTTTTTTTCTGAAAGCGTTTTAGGCAAGTCCTTCAGTAGGATATCTGTGCCATCTTAATAATGGTATTGATGATAAATTCCCTAGTGTCTGAAATTGGAGTTTCAATTACTTTGCCTTTATTAAATGGCTTTAACAAAACTAGGCTAGGACTAGTGGGCATGCCAGCAAGATGCCCTATTGCAAAACATGCATTTACCTCATAGAAAGGGCACTAGACAGAGCATTATAGTAGCACCATATATGATGTAATGCCACTGGACGCAGTATAGTCAGCCAGGTCTTTTTCCTTAGCTTTTAAATACCCCATCCAATACACAGCACCCGATCCTGGTGACCCGAGGTGTGGAAGTCTGAGGTTTCCCRTGCTATTTTGGTGAGATCTCAGCCTGTAAATAAACATTCAGTGAGCAATACTTTTAGCTGACTACCTTGTGCCCAAGCTGATAAAAATCTTAGGGCTCAGTTGTGGTATCTTGAGGCAGTTGATAAGTAGTTATGCAGTTTGGATTAGCTTGGGATGGCAAGAAGGTAGCTACATTTTACGTCAGGTGGCTGGTGTGGTGGTTATGGGGTGGTCATGCTGCTCTAGGGAGAACCAGTGCAGACCCCGTGAGCACGAGTGGTGCTGTATGGCATGGCAAGGGCCTGGGACACAGAAGTAGACAGGCCTAGCATGGGCGTTTGGGATGTTCAGCACTAGAACTTGGTTGTCGTGTTCTCACGGTCTTTAAGTCCTTTATTCCCTAGGAAATCATTAACTGCTTGTTCCATTTTAAAACAGCACTTAAATTCTCTTTAGTTTAAGTGCCTAAGTGCTAGTCTGAAGAAGGCCATTTTCCTGAAATGAAGCTTTATACTGTACAAATGTTATCTATACAGAGTGACTGAAACCACCTGATGCCGCCAAGAAACCACAGCAAAATTCCTTGCTCCTTTCCTGGTCTTTCCACACTGACATTCAGACAAGAAAATGTCTTTTGGAAACCATGTACACTTAATGTTGACAATGATTGATGATAGAATGTCAAAACTAATCAAAAAACACAGGTTTGGCCACTGTTTATTGTTTTGAAAAGAGTGGAAGAATAGGAAATGAAATCATCTAAAATATTTTGAGCCATTATCATGAAGAAAAGCTGCAGATGATTAAAGCAGTCGTGTCAAATGAAAGTTGGGGTATTAAAATGAGAAATGTTCTGTTGCTCTCAGTGCCAAGGAAATTAATGAAGAGCAGGAGAAAACCTGGGATGCTCCATGCTCTGCATGCTGAAAACATACAGAAAAAAATCCTATCCTATTGTCTCAGTCGTCTTTTATTAAAAAACAAAAACAAAACCTCCTTTGAAGATAAAGATGTGTTGCATGGGACAAAACTCTTAAAAAAAAAAAAAAAAAAAAAAAAAAATCAACGTTACCAGTTAGGAGAGTGCACGTCTAGACACACGTTCTCATATGCGTATCTGGAATGAACGTCTCATAAATATTTTTAAATAGATTTAACATATTTTAGTCCTGATAGTAAACTACCTCTCAAGACAGAGCATACTTAATGTATTGGAATCCCTTGGAAGTATTGATTATTATTTTTTAGCCTCCCCAAGGATCACGTCCTCCTGCTTCCTGAGTGAGGAATGCCCTTGGACTAGGGTTGCTGCAGAGTCATCTTCTGAGAGAACTATTTCTCTTTTGCAGCTGACCAAGTCCTYCTTTCATAATGTTTCTAGATATACTGAAATCAGGCATTGGTTACTAGTTGTGGTGCATTGGGACATCCTACTTTGAGTTCACATTAAGTTAAAATATCATGAAACTGCTTCCTTTAACCTGAAGGAAGGTTAAATACCATCATGTATTTTGAAAATCATCAATTGGTGATGTTTATTTCTGGAGAGAGAGTGGAAAAGTCTCTAGACAAAATTCCAGTGTACTTTTGTTGGGTTTTTTTTTTTTTTTTTTTTTCATTTTAAATGGGGCAAAAAACATATAGATCATGGAAACTTCTGATTCTTTTAGAGCTATTTTCGATGTGTTATAAAACTTGTTGTTTGGGATTTGATTGCTCTTTGTAGTTCATGGACCCGGAGAAAATGACTTGCTTCTGAACTATGTGAATCGATGTTTAAAATGCAGCAGAATGAGCTCTGATGCTTACAGTGTGCATCTGCACAGCATTTCCTCTGGCAGTCCTAGCACAAGATGTGCGCACCAGCCTGACGAACTGATGGATACATCAGTTGCCCTCTGTGTTTTAAGAGAGAATTGATAATTCAGAATGTAGTAACATTTCCTCATTATATCTTTGGTAGTTTGTCAACTTTCTAATGTACAGTGACTTTTTGGCATTTGATTTGATGAACTCTTCTGTATTCACATGGAAAGAGATTTCAAGACTGGTATCTTGAAGACAACAGGACCTAAATATGAGATATTTTAGGAGGGCTTTCAGAGAACTGTTTGGCTTTTTGCTTTGTATTTGGTAGTTTTATTAGGACTTGGTTGCTTTTCCTTATTGCTTGAGTTACAGCAAGACATTGGACCAGCTACAAGTTACTCCCTACTTTGGTCCAAATGAGAAGCAGCTGACCCTCCCCCTAGTGCTAACTATAGCCCTAAGTAGCACAGCAGTCAGAATGAGGTTGCTAATATCTTACGTTGGTGATAGCTCAGAAGGTTAATTCATTTTCATGAATTCTCAGGCTATAAGGCAACTTAAAAGAAGAATTTTCATAATTGGTAAAAGAAGAAAAAATAATTTCCACTTACTCCCCCAAATGTAAGAAAGAAAAACTTCAGTACGCTTCTGGAGTTGGGAAATTGCCCAGTTCTCTAAGGTGCCCTTCTCCAAATCCTTGTAAAGAGGCTGACCACATGCCCTTTTCACTTCTTCGAGAGATTCTCTCCGAATAGAGAAATTACAGCCACCATAGATGGATATCTATTAAGGAGATGGAGAAAAAGTGCAGTCCTTAAGCCTATGATACTGTGTTTTARCTTGAACCTCCATGGGTGAGTACAGGTGCCTTCACAACACAGCAGTGGGCCTCCTCAAGCTCATCTCACACCTTGCCTGCGTGCATTGCAAGAGGCCAGTCAAAGCCTCAAAAAGCACCAGGAGCCCCCGTGGGTAAGTCTTAGATGATTGCAGCTAGACTWAGTGGCAGTCTTTATTAATAAAGTGACTGAAATTGGGGAAGGTTTTTGCAAGGGCTTTGCAAGAAAATTGTAGGCTTTTCTGGTATAGTGAAAATACGTAGGGTGATGGTATAGAAAGCGTTGTGAACAGCCATGGGATGTGGCTTTGTAGCGCTCCACGGGATGTGAAGTGCTGAAGCCTTTAGCTCTGTAGCTCAGGAGAAAAAGAATAGGGGAAGCGGATCTCTGCAGGAAACATGGGAAYGGCCAGGCCTGCAAGGCTTAGCATGATGCTCTTTGTGAGTGCAAGTGAGAAGTGCAAGTGAGCCCCTCRGAGGAAGGTATTTATGGCACTTGAGTGCTTTGTGAGGATCAGCAGTGCACACGCTGTACGGTTTTGCCTAGCAGAACATTAGTCTCTCCCCACCCACAATATTTAGTAGAGAGAGCAGGGAAGGGCTGGAAACCTTTGTTGCTCTGGTGCACAGGAATTTGGGTGGCAGGAGTGGGAGAGTTGCATGGATTTAATCTGAACTTTCATCATCCTGAATAACAGCAATGAGCCTTGTGGGCTGGGAAATAATTGCCACTTTGTGAACATGCAATAGCAAAGCTTGCTTGAAAGCTGCCCTTGCACTGGCCCTGAACATCTGAAATACAATGCTTGCTTTTGCTGTTTTACTTTGAAAGATAAGAGGAAAATATGCATAGTTATAGTATTTGTGTGCAGTAAACTGTAGCTTTTGTGTGCAGCCTAAACTGTATTTAGGCTATAATTTGTTTTAGGAATCTTTAAACTCATTGTATTAGTTTTATATATGCATCAATGAATATGATAAAGCTCTTATTGCAAAGAATGTATACAACACCCAATCTGTACAACGTATTAGCTTCAGCTGCTTAATGTGCCTACATATCTTTAAATCAGCTGCTACATATCAGTAGATATATATTTAGAGCCGTAAACACAAGTATGTTAAGAGTTTGCAGCTATTTAATCTTGCCTTCTTCATGTTCTGCCGTGTGGTTTTGATGGGGATGTGCCACCACTGCCAGCCCTGCGCTCTGCAGAGGCGAAAGGGCTCCTCTAGGAGAGGAAGAACCTGGATATTGCCACTTAACCTGCGTGACAGGATCAGATCATCACATTTCTCATCAGCCTTTCCTAACTACGGGGCTGCATAGAGRGTTTTCTGTTGGCAGCTTGTGATTGTGTCCGTCCTTCAGTTCCTTTGCTTTCCTCAGTGCTGTGCTACTGAATTGGCCCATAAGATGTGTCTATGTTGCKTACATGAGTGCAGAATTAAATGGAATTACCTCAGAAATGAGTTTGGATTACTGTGGCTGTAGCCACTGGACCTGCTCCCATTAAATGTCTCCTGTGATGTGCTAAGTGCATTAAAATCACACTGGGAATTGCAAGCCTGAGCTGCCTGTGAGGATGGGCAAACAGAAACGACCAGAGAGCTGCTTGTTTAAATTGTAATTCAAGTGACTGTGAAACGCTTGGAGACAASTAAAGCAATAAAAATGTGCAGTGCTAAGCTTGGTGCCTATATATAAACACACAGATATGTGCCTATATGTTTATACACACATATACATAGACACACACTCAGTTACCTGTGTATTATTTACGATGCTTGCAATATGGGAGCACAGCAGAATGCTTGAGGGCAATGGCTGTATCTATTGCTGTCACCTGCTTGATGTACTGTGAAAAATACCATGGGATTGTGGAAAAATAGGTTGGCAATTCAGTTACAATGGAGTGTCTTTTTGTGTGTCCCCTTGGGTGCAATAGGGATAATAAGAGGAGCAGGATGCACAGTTTCAATGGCTGGAATTTATTTTATAAAGTATCCTGTTCCGTTTTATGTGAAAGGGATTAAAATGTCTAGGTTTTTGTTTGTGTATTTCTTTGTTTGAAAATCCTAGCTTATATTCGATTATTTTCATTTTGAGTGAGGTTACAAAATGTCAAAGTTCAGTGAAGACTTGTTCATCAGAAACCATTTGTGTTGGTATTAAGTCAGGGGTTAGTATAACTGCTTTATGGATGATTTACAACCATTCGCAACCAACAAATAGTTTGTTTCCCTTGTGCTAGTTGTATTATGATTGATATTGGTTGTCCAAGAGGAAAGGAGGAAGAGTCCAGAGACAGCCACATTAGCCCAAAATAATCTGGAATCACTAGATGCAGCCTGTGTAAATTTGGCTAAATCCTGTGATTTCTCCACGATATCATCACTGGGGTAGATGAGATTACACTAAGTCCAAGTTGGTGTAAAATGTTGAAATAATGGATGCTGTGGTGAAGTATTTTCTTACAGATCTTTGCTTGCTGTAAAATACAGTTTGTTTTGATGTCTGTTGCTATGAGAAAAACGTTATTGGAGAGGCTTTGTCACGAAGTGCCTTGGCTCAGCCAGCAGAAGTCCAAAATATCTCACTTATGTAGACAACCAGCRAACATGTAATAATATTCCAGCTACTAATCTTCTTATAGCGGGTAAGGTGGGAATGTGCATCTGAGAACTGCTGTTTGTAACTGATATGGCCCTTGTGCTTACAGAATGGACTCAATGCTCTGCACCTGGCTGCTAAAGAAGGGCATGTGGGACTTGTACAAGAATTATTGGAAAGAGGGTCAGCTGTGGATTCTGCCACTAAGGTAATTTATGCATATGTCTTTTTTCTTTCTTTCTTCTGGGGTAAGATAAATACCTCATTGGTATCTTAAATATCTCTTCTGTTACAGTCTGTGAGTCTATGCTGTTTTCCTGTGAAGAGACTTCATAAGCCATAATCTTTTCCTCTCAATTTTTTTTTTTACTGAAGAGCCTCAGTACATAGTATAGAGCACTAAAAAGTTTGAGCAATGCCAAGAATCTCGTTATTACCAATGACCGTTTCCCAGTAGGGCAAGAGTGAATATAGGTCAAAATATATACTTTTCAAATCTACAGAAAAAGTGCTAAGTAATTGTATTATGCCCTGAGCCCTTTCACTCAGGGAGACAATGGGGGGGGAACCCCAAAACCTGCAGAATAATACATTTTTGCCTTCCCTATCGCCCATGCAGGCACACATGAGGACATCTGAAACATTTGATTAGGAAGCTCTTGTCCTTTGCTCGTAGTGCCTTTGTGATGAGCCAGCTTTGTCACTTGCTGGGTGTAGTGTTGACTCTTGGTCTGAAAAAAYGGGAGCCTCTTACAGAAGCAGCACTCACTGCTGCGTTTTGTGAGAGAGGATCTTAATGGAGCACTTCATCTACATTTGGCAACCCACCCAAAGTTCAAGAAAGACTCTTCCCACTGGTGTGGTGCTTCTTGTCCTAACAAAAAATAGCCATTTGTGAATGAGCAATTCCCCTCTGTTTTGCATACGCTTCTTTTGTGTTTCTAGCTCTGTTTAAAGTTGAGTGACGAAGAAATTTTTAAAAATAGGCATTTTAATTTTATGCCAGTTAGAGAAAACAGAATAATTTTATGTTTCTTCCATATTTAAAGAATTGTGTTTTGCTCCTAAATTCACTTTCTTTTAAGTCTTGTACTAGGAGACTTTTCTTTGCATATGATACACAACTCGAATGCTAGCACTTCCAGATTTCTGCTGCTCTCTATAGGACATGGTATCTGTCACTGAAGGAAAAAAAAAAAGCGTTAGTTCATGTTAGTGTCATTGGTACCATTATCAATTCTATTCTCTAGGACTGAAGTGTRGTGTATTGAACAGTAAGGTAAAACTGTTCTCAAAAAATCAAGGTCTGTATGTTAAGTCCTGTGAAGAACTACTGAGGCCATTTACACGATAAAGAAGAATAATATCTGTCTGTCTCCTCATTACAGAAGGGGAATACAGCCCTGCACATTGCGTCCTTAGCGGGACAGGCTGAAGTTGTCAAAGTTCTGGTTAAGGAAGGAGCCAATATCAATGCACAATCTCAGGTATGATGCTGTTTTCACTTCTCTCTTCTAAGAACTGTTTGGTGAAGTTTTATAAAACAGATCTGAAGTTAGGCAGTATTTCCAAACCTTTCTTTTTTTTTTTCTTTTTTTTTTTTTTTTTAAAGCCAGCCCTGACAAATAAGTCAAACTGTGGCTTAGATGGCATTTGCTGATGTGCAAGTCAAGTAACAATAAATGGCAAATTCGAGTAATTGAATTGTGTGTTGAGTTGTGTGTTGAGTAATTGAGTTGTGTGATATATATGCTTGTGTTTATGATTGAAATCTCCAAGAATACTAGGAGGCTGTAATAAATAGGTAATTTCAAAAAAATCTGTTTAKTGTAGAAATGTTACATCATTAATTTGTCTTGAATTTGATGAACATTAAGAAAGTTTAGTGAAAATGGAAATTACAGAGTTGCTTTTCATGGTTGCTTTGTTGGTTTAAAATTTGAGGACAACTTATTCTGGGTTTCTGAACCTGTTAATTATGTGATCAGAAAGAGTTAATGTTGAAGGATGGAGGTGTGCATTGGGTCTTGGGCAATTCACCATGTCCTGTCAGGCAAACCAACTATCAAAAAAACTCCTTTATTTCTATTGACATGAAACTTGTCTTTTCTTCCAAAATGTACCAGAGACTTGGTGATGCTGCGAAGATTGACTGATAGCCAATGCAGAAGAGAAATCCTTCCTCCCTGATTTGCTCGAGGCTGTAGTGGCCTCTGTGTCCCTACCATGACTTTGGACCTATAAACAATATGGGCTAGATTTTCAGTGAACAGCCCATTACAAACCACCTGGATGATGCTTTGCTTTCAGAGCACTGCCACTTCTCTGCCCTGCTAAGTACATGCGCCCATTAGCACCATGTCATGATCTACCCCGTTATGGCTGCGGCTGTTGGATAGTTGCATTACTTCCTCTATTTAGAGTTAGAAGCAACTTAAGAGTTTTTGGTTACTGTTTACAGATGGTACATTCTTAACCATGGCAACTCTCTGTAGCTATGGAGAACTGAGCAGATGGTGTGGGTGAGGATATTTTAAGGAAACTTGCCATCTTAATTCAAACAAGGTGTTTTTGGAGTCTAGTCAGCTCATGGCATTCTCAAAAGTAAATAATCAAGTTAACTACTGCTGTTCCTATTGAACCTGGTTGCATCATTCAATAACCACAAATGCCATTGGTACAGTAATGGTATAAATTAAGACAATGAGAATAACAAGTTGTGCTTCAGGGATAGATTAGCCTTGGATTACATTTTTCCTGGAACTGTTTGGGGACAGTATGACAGACTTTTTGCTTGTTAATTGTGGAAGATGTGAGCAGAACAAGTAAAGAACAACCTGATTAAACAGGGCAATTAGGAGCTACCTGGACAGAAGAGAATGTCAGGTAGCAAAGCAGTGACTGCCTGAGATGCTTTTCTTGGTCTTGTTCTATAGAACATTCCTTAATCACTAGGAACACAGCCAAGCTTGTGACAGGATGCATCCATCCCAAATCCAACTGGCTTAACATCTTCCTTGCCTAGGTCAGGGAAGCTGCTGGCAGTTGTTTAATGGTGGTCATGTTGTTGTTTTGTGCTGTTTTGATGCCACAAATACATGAGGGTTGACATAAATTAAATAGAAAGACACAAGTAAATAGAGGGCACTAGATGAACCCATAACATTAACCAGCTACAAATGATCATGTGTATTTCTGCTTTTTCTTTATTTTGAGATGGAGAAATTGAAAGCATCTTTAAGCTGCTCCGAGTCCAAGATTTCTTCTTATTATTACTGTGCTTTCTGCTCTGAAGCTTGYGCTAAAGAGGCTTAGAACAACCGATGGTTGCTTATTCCTCATGCTCTACTTCCATTTAATTTAAGCCAGSGAATGCTGTAATTCCTTTGCTGAAAAATTTAGCCACCACCTTTCTTAACACCTTAATTGAATAATTTCTGCATAATTTTTTTCTGCCTTTTCATGTGTATAAGAAGGTAAAGTCTTTAATGTGACATTTACACAGTGTTAAGAGAAATTATTATAAAACTGTTACTGTCTTGAAGCGTTAACCCTCAAAAAGCCTTCAGGAAGGCCTTTCATTATGTTGGAAAAAGAAATAATGTTTTCTGAGTATGGAGAAAAAAAGGTATTTTATCTGCTATTCTAGTTTTAAATAAATTTACTGTTCGCACTGAATGTTCTGAGCACTGTACAGASGCCTGTTAGCAAGCCTTAAATTGTCATTGAAGCAGAATTGCCTTGGAGGAGAACACCCACGTGCAGAAGAAGAGTGGGCAACCCAGCATCACCTTTTACATCCTGTCCACAGAAATATCTACTTAYCTGGCAGAAGCTCAAGAATTGAGTTGTGGGAGAGACGCAGTGTTACCAAGATACTCAACAAAATATTTGCAAATGAAAGTGGTTTTAGACATAATGTARTCTTAAGGAAACATGAAAAACAGCTGTAGATTTGATGTTAATCAAGAAAGATGATGTCTAGGACTTGGATTAGCGTTTATAAATGAATCCTATTGTGGCTGATGCTGCCCATGCAGGAACAACAGACGAAGATGGAAAGCAGGAGTCTTCTCGAGCTCCCTTTCCCCATAGGCAGTTTCTATGTCAAGCCTTTCAGGCCTGTTCTCCCTGCTTGTACTCCTGCCCAGAGCCGTTGTGGATTTCTGTGACAACAGGCTGGAGCCAAAGGCTCATGCTGCTGCTGGTGAGGAGCCTCAGGTGGAAGGTGGGACCTTCTGCCTATTTCTGGGCAGAACTTGGTCAGTAACAGTAGTGAACAGTAGCACACTGAGAAGGAAGCAAACTCCCTAGATAGAGCTTCTTGCTAACCAGTGTTGAATGAACTTGAGTAATTAATATCTTTGTTCAGTGCTTGAAATACTCAGTGTGGACATTTTTTTCACAAAGCTGCAGTATGGTTTTGTAACTGAGCAGATATTGCCTGGAAAGGCTGTATTGTTTGGGGCAAGGCTATGAACAGCCCCCTGGAAGCTTGATTCTCCTTTTCCAGAGACTTTCCATGAGACTATGGAAAGTTAGAGAAGGGTACGTGGAAGTTACAGAGAAAAAGGAAATGACTGAAGGGAATGTGCTTGAGTACTTGATTATTACATTTTCTGTCAGGAAATATATCTCAGTTCAAAAGACTGAAAACAGTGATGGGGTTGGGGGAGAAATTTTCCAGGAAAAAGAGGTTAACGGAGGAACTTAGAAATGGACAAAATAACAAAAAGTAAGGTAACTTGCAGAAAAGAAGTAAGGAATTATGACTGAAATGCTCAGTTTCTCTTTCTTACATTTTATCTCAATTCCAGTTTTAAAAATAGAAGCTACATTGTCACTCTTAAATCTTTAAGAAACAGTTGTTGGTATTGAGGGCGCGTTATATCATCTCCTTGGTATCTCTATTATTTCACACTTAATATTTTTTCAGGCCCCTGCCGAATGCCATTTGCTGGCAGTTCTCTAATGYCGTTGAACTAACTCAAGTCGTTCCATAACTTCCTCTTTAAAGAACTCAGTATCTCTCACGGTCATTTTCACTTYTAGTGATAAGAATTTGCCATAGTGATAAAATTACTTATTTGATTGCAAACTGATAGGTAAAAGATATGAATTGCACTGTGTTCAACTTAGTGTTTTCCTCCTCTTTTTCAGTTAAATTGCATAAAACATCTCCCTTTATCACAGCTTTCCAAAACCAACATCTGAAACCCTACATTGATTTTTTTCAGTCCATTAGACCAATGAAAATACAGAATTGTCTCAGAAAATGCTATTAAAAATTTGCAGCCACGGAGATTACAAAACCCATCTGTACTATCTGAAGCTATTAAGCATTCAAGGACTTTGATTTTATGGATTTGGATTTTTTTTATTAATATACTTAGCCCTTCAGTTTTCTGTTGGTCTTGCAGAGCTGTTTTGTTCATTTCCCTATCTTTTAAAAAATGTGTTCCTTCCTACCTAATACGTCATCACTGTTATTTTTAGAGAAGTAATTTCTATTTTGATACAAAGCTTAATTGCACAGTGATTACTAATTGAATGATTCCACTTACACCTGCATGCATATCATTTGAGAGCTGACATCTTTCAGTATGTCTCAGGCAAATGCTAAAATGAGGGCAAACTCAGAAATGGCCAGAGAGATCTGGAAATTAGTACTTTGGGTTGTATCTCCAACTAGAATTCCACAAATCTGCAATTGTTTGTCTGTTAGAATTGCCTTTTGCATGATGCTACAAATATTTTTCCACATGTAAATTTTATTTTCTCCGTTATCTATCAAACCTTTACCTGGTTGAGTGAGCAGTACTACATAAGCTTCATCTAATCATTGATCCACTAGTAGTTGTCATTTCCTTTCTTAATTTGACCGTTTTTTTCATCATGCCTAGATTGATCATATTGCAGTAACTGAGAATATTAAACCTGGTCTAGTGACTACATGGCACCAACTATTTAAAAAAAAAAAAAAAAAATCGAAAAACAACCTACAGATAATCACAGATTTGCTGTGAGTTTGTTATGTTTTATCCATATTACTCCTTTCAGCTTTGGTTATATTTCCTTGGAGAGCAAGGTCACATCATACCGTGGTGATCATACCACAGTATGATGTGACCATTTGCAATATATATTCCCTYGTGCCGGTCATCCTCTAGGTACTAMTGAATTCCAATGATGAATTACAAAAAAATATTTGGGAACCACTGGAATGTGTCATTGTCCAGAAGGAGGAAAGCAGCATTGTTGTCTTCTAATTTCTCTTAAAGTCCAGTTGTATCATGCAGAGGGGTCACATAGAAGGGTCAGAGAKGTTTGGTTAGAGTGACAGCCGAATTGTGACCATATCCTTGCTGCCCTGCTTTTTGTAAGTAAATCCATCTCTGAGCTATCCCCTATTGCAGTAAAAATGATATATTCTGATTACAAGTGTTATGGAATGAATACATCTTGACCCTCATCTGTTTCAAACGAG